AAGCAACTTAGAGCTGAGGAGAAATTTCCTGACAGTTGGAACAATTAATCAGTGGAACAGCTTGCCTCCAGAAGAATGCCCCAACACTGGAAGTCTTTAAGAAAATGTTAGATAGCCATTTGTCTGAAACAGTATAGGGTTTCCTGCCTGGGCAGGGGGTTGGACTAGAAGACCTCCAAGGTCCCTTCCAACTCTGCTATTGTATTGTATTGTATTGTATTGTATTGTATTGCATTGCATTGCATTGCATTGCATTGTATTGTATTGAAGAAGCTAGAACTTATTGGTGTCAGCTTCCTTGTGACTCATTACATTATTCCTTATGGAAAAAATGAGTTTAGTGCTCATCATTTTTGGTAGTCATTGGGCCTCCCAGAACCAATTAATGATAAGTACCAAGGTAGCACTGTATCTGTTAATCCGTAAAAACTTTAAACAACCAAGGAAACATACATTCTGTTGCATTTTGCTCAGTGTTGGACATTTGCAAAGCATTATGTTTCATTTTCAGCCATCTTATTACATCCAGCATTCAGAAACCAACCTTTAGCCCTGGTTTCACAAAAAGACAAAACCAAAGTCACTTGGTTGAGTTGGGCAGCTACAGAAATTGATTGAATAAATAAACAAATAAGTAAACACGATCTAATTCAGGTACCGGTATTAATTTAAGATATGCTTTCTCTAACTTAACAGGTGCATATGTTTTATAAATGTGAATGCTTCCTTTCCCCCCCAAAGTATAATTAGTGAACTGAGTTAGAAAATGGAGTTACAGATGCCAGCTTGGAATATTTTCTTGAAACTGATAGAAAAGATGAACTGTGGGGTCCTTTGTGCTCCCTGACAGATGTTTCTGCAAAAAGTCACCCAAAAAAGCTGCAATTGGCATCTTCTGTGTTCTGTTTTGTCTGAATTCTTCTGCACTAAACAACAGAGCAACAAAGATGATTAAAGACCAAAACATATGAAAAACAGTTGTAGAAATTGGGTACGGATAGCAGTGTTCCAATATTTGAGGGGCTGCCACAAAAAAGAGGGGTTCCTATTCTCCAAAGCCTTCAGGGGGTCCTGAAGACAAGAAGCAATACATGGAAATTAATCAAGAAGATAAGCAACCTAGAACGAAGGAGAAATTTCATAACAGTGAGAACAAATTAAAAAGAGATAATGTATGATAAACTATAATGGATAAATGGACACTTTTTGTTGGAGTTGGGCATCCAAATTCCAGTCCATACTCAGGCATAAAAGTTCATTAGATGATTTTGGTCTGAGTTGAATTAATGGCCTGATCAGCCTTGTATTATATAGTTTGTCACTGTAGGGGGGGGACGACACAGCAGAGAAAAGAGTGCTATGAATACTGCCTTGAGATTCTAAATCAAAAATGGGATATAAATCTAATGAATGAATGAATGTGCTTCGCCACTTTTAGAAACACTGTGGTCTAATTCAGCTGCAGCATCTCTCTCTCTGTCTCTCTCTCTCTGTCTCTCTCTCTCTCTCTCAACTTTCTCCCTCCCCCTCCCTCCCTCTCTTTCTCTCCCTCCCATATTAATAAACCATATCTAAAGTCTAGACTTTTTTTCCCCAGAGCAGCTGAGTCATAGCTACAGGATGTACCAATGATAATTTTCTCTCTCAGAGAGATAAAAGTATTTCAATGACATAGGCTAAAAAAATTCCCTTAACAAGCACTTGTACTGGCTTTTAACCCCTACAGATCAAAACTGCCTTTTTTTGATTTTCTGGAAACTACATTTATAGCCATTAACAAACCTGAAATATAAATCCCAGTTTCTGGAAACTCAAATTATTGCAGTAAGTGAGTCAAATGACCCAGAGAGCAATAAAGGTTAAGGAATCATACAAATGGAGGATAAAATAGTGGCATGTATCATTTATTATTAGTATTTTAACTCAGTGTGTTATACAGACCTACTTCAATTGAAGATCTCAAAAGTATCTAAGTTAAAACTATCAAAATGGTATCCAAAAAGCTAAATTAAAGAGGTGTGTCAACTCTTTCTAAAAGTAAACCAAAAGCGGTTCAATCAGAATGAAAAGGGGTGTTCCTGCAGAGAAAGCCTTTCCCATTTGCTTGTGCTTTTGAGATATTTTCAAAAGTCCTCTACAAATTCACTCTCTCCACTTTCAGGAAAGAACTAGAAAACTTCCGTTGTTGAAAAACATAACAGAATAGAATACAATTCTTTATTGGCCAAGTGTGATTGGACACACAAGGAATCTGTCTTTGGTGCCTATGCTCTTAGTGTGCATAAGGAGAATAAAATACATTCATCAAGAATAAAAAAGATGCAACACTTAGTGATAGTCAAGGTTACTAATAAGCTATCAAATCGTACTAGGAAACAAATAAAACAATATAAATTGAAAGATACAAGTAACATGGTTATAGTCATAAGTGGGGAGAGAATAGATACTAGGAAGGAAAAGAAGAAGAATAGTAATGCAGTCTTGGTAAATTATTTGACAGTGTTGTGGGGATTAGTTGTGA